CAAAATACTCTTTGAGAGTTAATATATAAACTCTTAACACCAAGTGTTAAATTATCAACTCCAGACAGATTTGGTGTTTAACACTAAATCAGAGTTAACGTACCAACTCTCCAAAAAGAGTTAAATTAACACTCTCTGGTGTGGACCCATATAGACACTTTAATAGTGTTGAAATCAAATCCGACAGTGTTAATTTGGACATGCTGGATTTGGTATATCTCCAGTCACATCATTCAATTTTAAATTCAATTAATTTTTTTTTATAAGTGCCAAATCACAGTAACAGTCACCTCAAGGTGCTTTATATTGTAAGGTATACTTACAAAGAAAAACCCAACAATCAAATGACCCCCTATGAGCAAGCACTTTGGCGACAGTGGGAAGGAAAAACTCCCTTTTAACAGGAAGAAACCTCCAGCAGAACCAGGCTCAGGGAGGGGCGGCCATCTGCTGCGACCGGTTGGGGAGGGGGAAGGAAAACAGGATAAAGACATTCTGTGGAAGAGAGCCAGAGGTTAACAACAAGTACAATTCAGTGCAGAGAGGTCTATTAACACATAGTGGGTGAAGAAGAAACACCCAGTGCATCATGGGAATCCCCCAGCAGCCTACGCCTAATGCTGGACATACACTGTGCGATTTTTGGCCCATTTTGAGCCGATTTTTCAGTCGTGCGACCGTTTTGGGGATCGACCCGAGTTTGGCCTTAATCGTGTGTGGTGCATCTTATACATGGGGTAACGAGAAGTGATTAACACCTCACGATCAGCTCCCGATCATCAGTCGTTTGGTCGTAAGAAAATCAAACCTGTTTGAAATCCTGTCGGCCGTTGTGAGGGTGTCAACGCAGCGTCTCTCACTGCGCACGCGCAAACACAGAGATGAAAGCGAAAAGACAGAACAGCACGGCAGTGCAGCGTGTGATCCGGACACAAGCGATGGAGGCACAACTTGTAGAACTGCCAAGCTCATCCGAGCCTTTTCGATGTGGCCTCACAAAATTATCGCGACCACAACAACCGTGAAAATAGTGTAAAATTTTGTGTTATAACCTTCATGCTATGGACGAACAGTGTGAGCACTCAGGTTGCACAGAGCATCGGGCCGTATAGTATGAGACCCTGCATCGTGACCTACGAACTTCTAACCCCTACGAGTCAATCGGACAGTTTGAACAGGAGCTGAATAACACGACTGAAAAAATTGCACAGTGTATGCCCAACTTATGGCAGCAAAACCAAGGGAGGATTCAGGGTCACCTGAGTAGGCCATCAGCCTACTAAAAGGATACAGAAAAATCCCGTTGAAATAGTGTTAGTTGTCATCACGGGTGCTGGTGGACTCATTTGAACACCTCCGAAATTTGCAAACACGCAAGCATTCCTCTTCTTCCTCCAAATCCTCTCGGGACCTTTTCCTCGAGCCTCCAGTTTCATGGTTGTCAGTCTCTTCATGGGCATCTTCAAAGAGTTCATCACTACTGCTCTCAGAGTGATCATACACAATTGAGCTGGTCCCCGAATCAGAGTTTGCGAGCCTGGATCTTTTGCTATTAGGCTCTTCTTCATCTCCATCTTCCTTTCTGGACCTTTTCGTGGATCCAACAGACAGCGGTACCTCATCAGCAATATTACCAAGATGAGGACAGCCCTCGCTATCAGTGTCACAGGCAGAGATGAAGTCAGAGTCATCATCAGAAAACTCCTCGCTCCATCTGATTCTTTTGTTGGGCTCCACATCTTCCACATCCATCTCTCTAGACCTCTTCCTGGATACACCTGGCTGAGGATCCTCTTCTGGGATGTACGGGTGAACATCCTCACAGTCTTCGAATGCTCATCAGAATCGTCATTTTCAATGCCGACAACAACAACAGCATTGTGATCATCATGCAGTTCATTGTTGTCAACATTGGCATTATTGTCTCTCACATTAATATTGTGATTGTTTACATTGTTGACATTGCCGTCATTGACATTGTGAAAGTCAATATATAAGACATCATATCGATCCTCTAATTCATCTAGTAGCTCAGTCAGCCTCCAAAAAAAGATATCATAGAGAGTAACATAAAGTCTTTCCAGTAAACCCCAGATTCCACCAACAGGTTCGTAAGCTGGCTCCTGATCTCCTCTTGGAAACATTTCTGGGTTAACCTGTCGGCCTGCAAGATCATTTTATCTTTTAATTAGCATTCATAAACATGTGCTGAAAATCAGTTTTTCATCAATTTTACGACTGAGTACATGTGCTTACCATTACGGTTATTTTGTGATCCATCTCCGCTTCCATTCATTTTGACTACAAGGAACAGAAAACAACAATGATCACTAAACAACTCAGAATGTTCAGCGAATTTGCTTTTTTTGTGATAACTTTAGGCTACGTCCACACGTACACGGGCACTTTTGTAAACGGAAATTTTCCTTTTTCGTTTAAAAAAAACCCCGTCCACATGTGCAGTTTTGAAAAAATATCTCCTTCCACATGTAAACCCTAAAAACAAAGTCAGGAATATGCCAAATCCTAACCGTGTAGAAATGTTGGCCAATCAGAAGTCTAGAAGCCTGGGAGGAAAACCTCACAAAACCTTACATACTATACTTCTGAAAGGTTTTTGTCTTTTTCTGGAAAGGCAGCTAATGTTGTGTTACTTTCAAGTGCCTTCATCATTTCAAATGTTAATAACTAAAGACAGCATTTTGGCTGGTATAGACTCACAACTTTGGAATGGACAAAATGCATATAGCATACATGAATGTAAATTTTTTAAATTACATTTATTGCAAACCGACGTCAGGATTTGTGTTGTGAGAGCGTCTGTGTTGAATGATGCTCACTCTGATGCCTCTGTCTTTCTAAATGGAGGGACAGTAACTGCGTGTGTTTATGCAAGCGTGTAAAAACTGCAGATACTAAGATTAACAGCAGAGCTTCTGTCACTCTAAGATATGATTAAGAACATTTTCTAATTTATGTATACATTTGTCAAATATTACATCAGCTGACAAATAGTTAAGTCTTCATTTGTTTTCCTGAATAATAGATCCACATCATCCTCTCTATGATGGAAAATATAGTCTAGTCTTGCACAATGTAAAGTACATAAATACTGTCCTGGCAAGCAGGAAAATCAGGCTTTATATATTTAAGTAAATGATCTTGAGTTTATAAACTGAAATTTGAGCTTACTTTAGTTCTTGGTAGATTACACAGCAGTTAATCCTCAGGGAAACGTAAATTCACTAAATAGTCGTCTCGCTTTCATCGGTTGCAGTGTCTCTTCATTTTGTGTTCATATGCTGATGTTTTCATTCAAACATGTTTAAATGCTGGTGTGCTCACTTCTAGCAGCATAAGACTGCGGAATGTACATGTGCTCTGCTCCCTAATTTTCCCCTGGAGGCATCACTATGGCAACAAAACAACATGCATTAAATGACGTTCCAAACAACAACAACCAAACTGTTTTCAGTGCTTAATATTTAACATGTCTTCATTATAAACTGTATTTGTGCCAATCAGTGATGTTGATGTGCACAAGCTGGGATTCAGACTTCGGAGGGTTAATCCAAAAATTAGGTTTACATTGTTGTCCATGACAGTGCAGATTTCTGACGTTTTGTGTGCTTTAAGCATTTAACAATTTGATTATTTTCTAACAAAAAACAGTGTGAAACTCAAGTTACACTTGTGTTTGTAAATGAACTGCCCCATGTCGTGTAGCTTTCTGGATTTTATACTTATTGGGCTACATGTTTATTTATTACACAGGCTATACAGTACATAACATCAAAACTCACATGTTTTATCTAACTAAAGTGTTTAATTATGTGGGCTACAGACAATGATCAAGTTATGGACTCTATTTATATGAAAAATGTATATATTTACTGCATTTGAATCATTTTAACCATATGTAACCAACTGCGTATGTGTTTGAAATAAAAATAGAATATTTTGGAGAGTCTCCCCTCAAATGTCAGAACACTTTGGTGTTTGGTTAAATTGTGATTTTGAATCAGTTACAGGGGTTACTGTGATCATGAATGCTTTTCTCTCTATGTGTTAACACTGTCCAGGATATACCCTGCCTGTAGCCCTATGGCAGCTTTGATGGATGAATTGATGGATGGACGGTGCATAGCAGTCAGTTTTACAAATGTAACAAAGGAAAATACGACATTTAAAATGACAACAAAAATCCACATTATATCTACATGACCATAAAGTTTATTGTGATAAACTGTGTAATACAAGCATGTAGTTGATGCAGTAACTGAGGACACAATGTTACTAAAACAGTATAATCTCACACATTAACTGTGACATACAGTTTGTTAATACTGAGTGGTTGTTGGAGCAGGAATCCTCAGAACCTGCAGCAAACTCCACAGATACCGGGGGTGCAGCAGCCACAGCAAAAGCGACACTTGATGCCACGCTTGTGTCTGCTGTTATACAGCGTCTGTGGGAAACACAAGAGACATGAGCACAGAGTTCATCTGCAGCAGCATCACTGCTCTTTATTTTCACCTGCTCTAACAAACACTTTCATTTAGCTGAAGCAATTTGGCCACATTCACTCAGTTAGTGTTACTTACCTTCCATGAGTCCACTGATGCCTCCTCATGTGCTGCTGCTGGATACCGATTACTCGTTTTCCTCGGACGTCCACTGATGCCTACTCTCCATTGTGCTGGCTGCTGGGATACGGTCCATTCGGCGTCATTTTGGCGCTCCTCCACCTCCTGTCCTTCCTGTTAACGAATGATGGTCATAAGGTAAGAACACACTCATTGTTACCACGTAGAAAACCAATCGACTATTTTGCACCTATTATGACGACTCATATACACTCGTTATATCACACGATGTTTCTGATTAACGTGGTTACGTGAGTGCACAGCCGAGCTTGCTGAGGCTCTAATCACTATAATCATTATTGACTATCCTTAGAGGCTACGATTTAAGGAACCGGCATCGCTGCCAAAACATATGCTCATATCAACAGAATTGTGGTCTGATATACCCCGTCTCTCCACAATCATATAGTGGAGCTTTTTGAGAGGGACTTCTTAAGGTGCGGTCACTCTTTCTCCTGTAGGTTGTCAGGGTTCCCTCAATTCCTCCCACTTGATCATGTGTAGCTCAGTGAGGTTCCTTTCTGTTACTCTGGTATTGGTCTCTTCTACACATTCGCTGTGGTCTCTCACAGCATGGGTGCTAGGAGATACACAACTTTAATACTGAATTCTTTCTGGGTGCCCCTTCGCCTTGGCTCGTCCCGTCACCCTCACCAGCTCTTTACTCTCCTACCTGCTGATTTTCCTCTCCCGTAGGGAACATTGGGCGAGAATCACTCCAACTATTTTATCCTGTGCTTCATGTAAATTCTGGTGTAATGGGTGTCATAATTTCTCCGTGAAGGAACGAGACGCTGCTTTCTCGCGAGTATCGTCATGGTGCTCAATGAATCTTGGCATACCGCTTCGCGATGCATTTTAACTATTGGTTTTGCGCGCTGTCTGCCTATTGGATTGGCTCACAATGTCCCGTGTCCCCCGACCCAGGTTAAGTCTCCCTGGGTATCTCATACTTTTATACGAATTGACTAAGCGACAGCCATGCAAGGATTGGTGAGCGCACAAGAAGAAGGTGAGACAAACGTGACCAGGGCCTATAGGTCCACAGGACTAAGCCTTTCATTGTTAGACTACCTCAAAAGTCAACACTCCGGCGAGATAAATGATTGTTCTACGTGTTACTGCAATCGTAAAAACTGACAGCATATTTTGGCAGTCCTCAACTCTAGAACACCACCAACATTAATTCGCGCTAGTAGATAGAATTATCAGTCAACTCCAACTGTCCACATACGTCTTTATTCGTAGAGGTTTCTCATCAATTTATGTTTCATCGACCAAGCTATCAAAAAAGTACAGATGTCTTTATTTAATTCTTCAGTTGACAGCGTAGCATAGCGCGGGACTCATAGTAAGTTCATAATTTTTGAGTAGCAGATCGCTTTGGTCCCATACTAGTCTCTGAGTGTAAAACATTTAGAGAAACCCATTCTCTGAGGGGAAGAAACGCTGATAGTTCACCCCTTAAAGGATTGGCGAACCATTTTTAAAGCGCTCACAGTTGTTAATGCTAGCACAACATCCTCGTACATGCGGTATGCGAGACTGAGAGCTCAGGAAGCAATAACAGCGGAGGAGCTAATATAACCAGAGAACGGACTGTGCTTAACCTATCAGACGACTGGACCATCTGTCCTATCTGATGCATGTTCCCGACAGAGTTTCTGTACTCTAAGTGACGAGGCAGCAGTGGAGCAAATGAGTATAAATACCAGCACCTTTTCCCTCAGTCAACCATCACAAAGGAGCTGACAAGAGTCAACGAGAGAGTCAAAGGATCTGACCACCTTAAACCACTCAAACCTCCTGAAGATGAAGACGTTCAGCGTTGCAGTTGCAGTGGCCGTTGCACTCATGTGTATTTGCATTCAGCAGAGCTCTGCCACATTTGCTGAGGTTACAGACTGTGTTAAATTCATGTAATGTGCTTCTTCTGCATGAATTTGTTGTGAAGATGCTAAGATCTGTTTTCTTTCTCTACAGATACGAGAACTGCAAGAGCTACAAGAGGCTGTGAGCAATGACAGTCCAGCTGCTGAACATCAGGAGGTATCAGCTGACTCATGGGTGGTGAGTTTACTTCAATAAATGAATGAAGACAGTAATTGTGAGATCTCTCAAATGCAGGGAGATGTTTAAAATAAACTGTGCACTCACAGCTTTTCATAAAATTAGAAACAATGAAGTGACTTGCAGCTGAAGATAAACTCTCTGCTCTTCTCCTCTTTCACACAGATGCCGTACCACAGACAGAAGCGTGGCTTGAAGTGTCGCTTTTGCTGCGGCTGCTGCAATGCTGGTGTCTGTGGATTGTGCTGCAGATTCTGAGAATATCTACCTGCGATTATCACATCAACCACTAAATATTGACTCTTATACATGAAATGATTTGACTGCTTAGCATTTGTTAAAGTCTGACAGTGTTTCTTCATCTGGTCATCCTGCTGTATCAGTGAACAGTGTACCAAGCATTTGGAACTACAGTATGTTAATATATTAAAAAGTTCAGAGTCACTATACTACAACATGTGCTGTCTGTTTCTGTTTCTGTCTGACAAGAATTAAACATTAATGGAAACCAGTGACATGAAGCTCCTGATGTACAGTTTTTGTGCTGATGTCAGTTAAGAGTTGTTGCCTCATACTCTTGCCCATGTCGTATGTGGTACAACCTGTTAATAGAGCCAAGCCATTGATAGCAAAAGTAAAGTGAGCATATTTTCCCATATTTGTAATTATATGAGTGGGGAGCATCTCATCATCATTCAGTTTTACCACTAATTATGACAAAAATGCAGTAATGTACAATAGCTTTGAGCTGATGGACTGGTTCATTGGTTATTTGAAAGTTAAACCAAGCATACTTTTTTTAAAGAATGTAGAAGTGTTAGATAATGTTTCCTAGAAACACTTTCTATACAAGTTCATTCATAAATGTTTTAGACAACCTTATCTCGACAACCATTCACTGAATTTATTTGGAGGTGTTTTCACGGTGTGCATATGAAGTTTCTAAGCTGCATGATTAATGCAGGAATCCCTCACACAGAAGAAAAAGAGAGAATAGAAAGATTTGCGTACAGCATAAATTTGATACTGGACATAATAATAGAAAACACCTCAACAATACTGAGAGACATTGCACTGTGGTGAAACTGTAAAGTAGGTGTAACACTGTGTAATGCTGTTTCAGATAATATCCCGCGGGCCAGAGTTTGACACCTATGATCTATGTTATAGTTAAGTTTAAAGTCTTGTGACATCATTAAGTACAGAAACTACTGTCGGGAACAGGCTTGCATCAATAGGACAGGGAAAACCCATATAGTTAAACATCCGAAGGTCAAAGTTCATGCCGACTGAGAAAAGTACAGATTTTCTCCTTCCTCAGGAATTTCCCATTCCCAGAATTTCATAGCACAGGAAAATATGGAGTTTTGCAATGTTCCTGAAATCAGGTAGAGTAAGAGCTGTGAGTGACGAGGCAGCAGGGGCCCAAATCAGTATAAATATCAGCACTTCTGCACACATTAACCATCAGACAGAAGGACTCAGCTCACAACAATCATCCGGACCAGGAGAAAGAGTCGAACTTGAGCCTCTCAAAGCCTCCTAAGATGAAGACGTTCAGTGTTGCAGTTGCAGTGGCCGTCGTGCTCACATTCATTTGTGTTCAGCAGAGCTCTGCTGTCCCAGTCACTGAAGTAAGAACTTGACTTTAACCAAGTGTATTAGCTTACAAGCTGCAAATGTTTGTTTCAGTGCTACAATGTGGTTTCTACTGCACTCAATTCATTAACAGGAGCAGGAGCTGGAGGAGCCAATGAGCATGGACTATCCAGCAGCAGCACATGAGGAGGCATCAGTGGACTCATGGAAGGTAAGTAACACTAACTGAGTGAATGTGGCCAAATTGCTTCAGCTAAATGAAAGTGTTTGTTAGAGCAGGTGAAAATAAAGAGCAGTGATGCTGCTGCAGATGAACTCTGTGCTCATGTCTCTTGTGTTTCCTACAGACGCTGTATAACAGCAGACACAAGCGTGGCATCAAGTGTCGCTTTTGCTGTGGCTGCTGCACCCCCGGTATCTGTGGAATTTGCTGCAGGTTCTGAGGAATCCTGCTCCAACAACCACTCAATATTAACTTATGAAGCTTTAAAATAGTCAGTTTTAACTGTGTTCATAGGATGAAACATTTTGATTTGGTAAGGTTGTATTTTCTATGTCTTCAATGATGTGACTGTATCAACATATTTAATCACATGTGTGTACTCATTAATCAAGTCTGTCAAATAATAACATTAAACGGTACTTCAGAATAATTCTTTTGCTCTGAAAAACAGATTTTATTACACTGCAGCCGATAAAGAGCAGCTTTAAGTTCAACAGTAGTTAGACTAAACGTGAAGTAGAACATTACTTCAAGTTACATTTTTACATGGATGGCCTATAACTTGAAATCATTATGTGGCACTAAATAACATTTTATATAAATATAACATAGACAGTTCAATCGTTACTCAGTAGTACTTCTCACTGTATAAGGACACAATGGTATATGACAGCAAATGTGCTATGAAGTGTTGATTCATCCACTTTATGCAGCTATAACTACATTTATATAGATGGCAACAGCTGAAAGCAGTAACCAGCTAAACTGGTTCCTGCCAAGTCTATATTTGTGCATCAGCACTTTAGACTTTAGCCTCTCCATGCTTGGGACCTTATATTTATGGCATTGTTGTTTGGGTTTTTTGATTTAGAAGTTAATTTGTAACTTTAACGTGGAAGTCTACGGGGACTGGCTTGTTTTTCAAGCAGAAAAATAGTACCAGCTAGTGGTTTTTGGCACTAACATCTTAGCTTTATTTTTTAGCCCTGGAGTTTGTTTGTTTTTTGTCAAACATTTATATAGACTCATTATGGACATAAATTGAATTTATATATTTATATACACAGGCTCTAATATATCAATAAATTCAAGCTTTTGCAACTAATTCTTGTTTTAAGGATATTTTCTGTACAATCATTCCACCCTGGAAAAACAACAGTTCAAAGAAAGCATTAAAAGCCCAAAGTTACCACGACATTCATGCCCATGATGAGTGCATGTAAACTTTAGACCACATCTTAATTTCCCGTACAGATCTTTTGATCTGATGATGGATTAGACTTTCTCGTTTTGTTTCCATTTGTTGTTCTTAACAAGTTGGTTAACAATTCACAGTGTAGGTTTGGCTGTTATGTAGCTGATCATTTTCAGTGATCATTTATTGGTGTGAAGTGTTCAAACTAAACTTGATCACATTAAGTAATGCATAGGAGGGAGAAGAGGGGGACTACTTTTATCAGGACTTAGAGGAAAAAGGTAAACAAATCCCAGCTGTGTGATCTCCATTAATGACAACACTGCTAGAAGCTCTTATTTTTCTGCACAGGTACTTTAACACTGCACTCATTACTCCAGTGCTGAAAGCATTACTCCTCAGGGGCTGGAATCTTTTTAAAAATAATGAAATCATCCATCAATTCATCAATATATTCGAGGTGGATTTGTAGCTGCAGTGGTCCGTGCAGCTACTATAAATGAGAACAAAAAATGAAGTAATTATTCCTTATAGTCCTAAAAAAAAAACAGTTAAAAAGGCAGAATGTATTCCTGCAGAGCCAATAATCCTACTGTTGTTGTTGACACAGATGTGCTCATTAAGCTAAAGCTAACAGGTCAGCAAGGTCACGGTACATGAGACAGAGTGGAGATAAGGGATTTTGGTTATTGCACAAGATGTTTAGTAAAATTCAAAAGACCCTTTCAACCTTTATCAGAGTAAACACACCGTGCACTCCTTTCATTATTGATTTTGGTATTTCTCTACAATTTATTTCCTTGAACAGATTTACATTATTAAAGTGGTTGTAATAGAGTGACAAAATTTAAAGATAAGCTGTTTGCTCTGTGTTTAAGTTGACAGTTACATGACATTTGATACTGATCTGTTGAAAACTGGATCATGTCAGCATATTAGGATCTTTATTATTTGTAATAAATCAATACAGAGTATTACACATTGACATCAAATATATATTCTGTATCATAAAACCATAATCCCTGCATTCAGTGCAGTTGTCTGAGTGCAGGAAACTGATTCACACAACTGAGGGAAAACTGAGTGATCAGATTCAATTCAGTTTGTATTAGACAGTAGCAAACTACATTATTTAAGCTGCACTGTCTCATAACTGGTCAATACTGAAAGGAAACCCACTCAGTCTAGCATCTTCTTATAAGAAAGTTCCAAGCACTGGACATGTTGATTTGAAATAATAATTAGTGTATTAGAAGCATAGTGCAGAATATAGGTGACAAACTGTGTGCTGTATTAAACTGTTGCACTCATGAAAATTCAATACTATGGCTGAATTAAGGAATTAAGATTATTGAACAAATATTGTTCGCACCAGTGCAAAGTCCTGAACATTTTGTTGTTTGGGAATTTCCTATTACAATACCCAGCATCATTTAAGTAGTGTTACAAGTCTTTCCCAAGAAGGAATAAAGTACTGCCAGTGACAAGGTAACACTGTATAAATAACAGCATGATCAGCAAACAGAGCCATTATGCTCAAAAGCGCTGATAGCAGAAATGGAAAATTCAACCTCTCTGACAAGTTAAACTGCTGAAAATGAAAACATTCGCGTCTGCAGTCATCTTGGCTGTCGCACTAACTATTTGCATTGAGGAGAACGCTGCCTTCCCATTCACAACAGTGAGTAGCCTGCTTGATGTAAATTAAGATTTATTCCTTTTTATTCAATGCTCATCAGCTCTGTGTGTTTTACTGTGTTTCTGAATGTATTCAACTAATCAACAGGTAGAAGACATGAAGGAAGAAAAGAGCACTGATGATCCTGCTGCAATGCAAGAAGAGACGTCAGTAGAAACATGGATGGTATGCTGAGTTGATCAAATACTTAAAATAAGTCATGAAGCTTGAGTTCATTCAATTTCTAGTCTACAGTGTTTTCAAGAAGCACTTCAAAATACAGCCTACAACCCATAATGTAATTTTACAGGGCATTTTTTTTATATTTAGGGTGCATTTTCAGTACCCAAAAAATACTTCAATGAAGCAGAACAAAGGAGTAGCAAACTGAAGTTTTAAAGGATAAAAAGACAAAGAAAATATACGTCAAGTGTATTTGAGGAATTAATAACTGAGATATTTTAGAGGAAAGGACAAACGGTGTTGCCCAATCTTACATTGCAATTTTAGGGGAGAGGGCTGTATTACTGTATCATTACCCCAACCACCCTATATTACACTGCAATTACTCATTATTTTGGTGTCCACATTATTGCTAGAAATATGTGCCAGTAAACATTGGATTTAAAGCCACTCACACTAAATAAAAACACAGTAGAATTTTGGCTTCTTCTTTCCTTTAAAACCTCTAGTTGTCACAGCCCTGACGTACTGTACCTACACCAGTATCTGGGGAAAATTAAACTCTAGGTCAGGAAAATTCAATTCAATTCAGTTTATATAATGACATATCACAGCAACTGTCACCTCAAGATGGTTTATATTGTAATTTCAATTTCAATTTCAATTTTATTTCTATAGCACATTTAAAAGTCACAGGTACAACAAAGTGCTTCACAGACGAGCCATACTTGCAGGTTTAGGTAAGGTAAAGGCGATACAATAAGACAGAGAAAACCCAAACAATCAATCAAACAACCCTCTGTGAGAAATCACTTGGCAACAGTGGGAAGCAAAACTCCCTTTTAACAGGAAGAAACCTCTTTGATGTATTTATTGTTCAGACGTATTTCAATTTTTTTTCACAGATGCCGTTTGACATCGGGGAGAATCGCGACACTAGCCCCGTCAGATGCCATCATTGCTGTGACTGCTGCCTGCTCAGTGGCTGTGGCATATGTTGCCAGTGAGGCTCAGATTTGAGTAGCTTCCATCAAAAGCAGCTTTACTTTCTCATCTTCAGCTAAAAAAATATGATGTATGTATTTATCCATGCTGTATTTACTATTATGTACAATAAACAACTGTGATGATCAGAAAGAGGGAGTGTCTAGGGACAAACAACAGAGGCGGCTATATTTTCCGAGAGTGGTCTGCTGTCCAAGTGCAAACCAAGCTCAGCTCTGCAGTGGTTCACTTATTATCCAGTACAGAACATGGAGGTATGGCATCCAGCCATGGTGGTGTGCATGCTATTGTGTAACTTTCAGCATGGCTGGATCGTGCCTCACTATTATAATGACCACAAAGGTCAAATAAATGATGCGGTGTTAAACCGGTGTAGAAATAATTAGGGAACACACAGACTCAGGCAGTCTATCTGACAGAGTTGTGAATGGATGGAACAATATGCAAAGAAGTCAACAGATTGCAAGTGACATGCAGAACAATGGCAAACCCTGTGGTTGCTGTTTAAGCCTGTGTGATTACAATTTAATTACCCCCAATACACACAGAAGTGCAGATACACAAAGAAAAACACACACATTTGCTTACACGCATGCACAGACTACCAGTCTGGAGCCTGGTGGACTCCTGCTCTGATCCCACCCTCATTCAGCCTTGCAGGGGGCTGAGAGGCATGCCAGGCTTGCCTCACGTCCAGACGGATGCCCGTTGTACGCCCCCATACCGACAAAGCTGCTGCCAAACCACACAAGGAGATAGTAAATGAGTGCACAGAGCTCTGTTCAGCTTCCTTACACACACAGAGACACGCACACACACCATGTGGTTTATTTTATCTGACTCATACCCACATACACATATGAGGCACAGTGCAGGCAGGTAGCAATTAGGGCCCTGTTCATCGGTAAATGCAGTACACTACGTCTATAAATCTTTTAAACTAGTGATATTTAAGTGTGTAAACTAAACTTCTCGGGTGGTAAGATGAGGAAATCACACAGTGCTGCTTTTTGTTGGTGATTTGATTTGCAGGGGAAGGCGTTTAGCCAGAAAAATAATAATAATCATACAAAAGAAAGCCACTTTAGATCTTTAAGACAAACACAACTGGAACAAAGAGCTTTATGTAGCACATAATTACTGGGCTACAAACTCTTGACCTGATGGCAGCACTTGCTGAAATGTCTGGAAATAAACATAGGCATCAGAATTCAAAGGGGATGCCAGCCCATCTGATAGTAAATGTAATTTACAAATAGTCAGTAATTGTTATTTGAAGGTTATTGACCTGCCCGTGAGTCAGAAAGCTCCGCTTTCTGTGTCTGCACTGTCTTGTGTCTGCATCATTCTGTCTGCTGTTGCATTGTTTTT